AATAATAATTTATAAATTATCAAGGGTTCATGAGGGAGGGGATGGCAGGGAGGGAAGGGGGGAAATGAGCTGATACCAAGGACACAAGTAGAAAGCAAATGTTTTGAGAATGATGAGGGCAACAAATGTACAAATGTGCTTGACACGCAATGGATGGATGGATTGTGATAAGAGTTGTATGAGCCCCCAATTAAATGATTTTTTAAAAAATTTCACACACAGAAATATTTTATTATTCCCAGGGATGTGAAGGAGCAGCTGTGAAAATCCCTACCTGAGAAATCGACGCATGCTATCTTTGGTGGATGGAAAAAGAATACGCACTCTGGGATAAGCCAGAACAAGACAACCAAAGCAAAGGAAGACAGATGGCTTCGTACAAGGCGGTATCCTCTCCCCCTCGCCCCCCCCCAAAAAAAAACCCAGAATTTTTTTCAAAGCTATGTATTTAAATTTTTTTACAAAACAACCTATCACCTTCAACATACTCTCCATTATACTTAATACATTTGTCAAATCTGCGGTTCCAGTGTTAAAAATATTTTTCAAACTCATCACCTTCCTCATTTTTCCTTCACCTCTTCTATGTCATCAGATTGCTGAGCTTTCATGTCCCTCTTCATTCAGGGAACACCGGTAATGACCTTGGGGGGAAAGTCTGGGTCCCTTGGACCTGTTCTTTCAAAGCATGGCATGTGTCCACTCAGAAGCTCTTTTTCCTGGTCCGTCAGAACCCGATGCCTACATTTCACAGCGACCCTTCTCATTCCCAAATCTTCCAATAAAAATCAGTGAACTGAGCTTCAAGACAGTCCAGATAACTTCCCCATCTCTTCAATGGTCGATTGTTGGTCTTCAAAGACAAGGGTGTGAATTTTGTTGACATTTTCATCCATTCAGAAAGTTAACAGACATCCAGAACAAGGTTTATCATCAAACCACATTTCACTTTTTGAAAGAAGAAAGCCACTTGTACATTCGAATTTTTCCCATAGTGCAAGCCACACCTTTCAGCAATATGAAAGACAGTCCTATCAAATGAACAGTAACAGCCAGGAGGAACATGCTTCTCAGAGCAAACCACTAGACAAGACCAACAGGGCAGTATTGTCCCAAAGCGCAGCTAAGAAGGCAGGAAAGAGAAGGGACGCTAGGCAAATGGAAAGAGGGAGAGAGTTGACATATCATAGGAGTTGCAGCCAACATCACATGTGTGCATAAGTTATGGAATTGAAAAATGCTTGGCTCTGTAAGCTTGCACCTAAACCACAATTTTTTAAAATTGTAAGCATAGGATCCATTTTGTGGTTATCTTCCAGAGCATTAATGAAAGTAGGAATTATTAAGAGAAAGGGGAACAAAAGGGCCTATTAAAGGAAATGAAAATAAGAATGGCCACTCTTCAGTTATAATACAGATAATTTAAAATTCTGTAGGGAAAAAAATCATTTTTAGTATGAAATTCTTTACCCAGACAAGTTATCAAACGAGAATACTGAGAGAATTTAAAAAAAAAATTTTTTTTTTTACCTGGAAATCTTAAAAGGCATATCTATACATGCTTTCTCGGGAACTTATTTGAAAACATTCTTCAAGAAAATGAGAGCTCCCCCAAAGGGAAAGATGTGAGATTCAGGAAAAGCGCTGAAACAGTGGAGAAAATGCGAGGATTTCCAGGGCGAAGAAAGGAGGCCCTAGGACATAGTTGCAAAGCTGGTCCAGAGAGCACGGAGTCAGCTTGCAGAGAGAACAGAGGTTAAAAAACTAATTGAACACTCTCTGGGGTCACTTAGCTGAAATTTTAAACTATGCGAATATCTTAGGCTGAGTTCTCTAGAGAGGCGAAACCAGGGATGCTACAAAGGGTGGGTGGAGGGAAGGAGAGAGAAAATGATAAGAACATAGCTCACCGATTTGAGGCTTCTGCCTGGGATGGGGCTGATGAATCCATGAGCAGCCAGGACTCCAGAGGTGGATGACTCCAAGGTCAGCAAGTGAGGACTTGACTGGAGGGGCAAAGAATCCCAGGATGAGCAGGCCAAGTTCGAGATGAGCCAGATGCAGGATCCAGAGGCAGTGAAAACCAAGCACGCTTTTCAAAGTAGGAGGAAATAGGAAGGAGGCCAGACCTCGAAGAAACTCCCTCTGAATGGCACCAGGGCTGTGACCTAAATAA